GAAAAATGATGGCCATAACACTAAGCATGGCAATATGAGAGAATTGCAAAGTTCTGCAAGCACTTGGAATCCCATCTGATAGCAGTTTAGTCCAGTTAGGAGGACTTTGCAACAGGTTTGAATACAATAGGCTAATAAAATCATGAAAAAGAACAAATTATGAAAATCTAAAAAGAATGTTGATTTATATAACATTTTATTCTATGGTACAGGATGAATCAAAACACTCCACATCTGATGAATTATTTTTGAAATATTAGTATTGTTTCACAAGTAAATATTATCGTCCATTTGAAACTAGTGAGGACTCACAAAGAACTAATGAAATACATAACCAGATAAAAAGTTACTGCTTTAAAATGACAGATCACAGAATTATTGCAGCACAGTAGGACAGCATTGAGTCGATCATGTTGGCAATGGCTCTCTGAATATGATGTTTTGCTGGATTAGAGCTTTTCAAACAATGCAACAAGTCATCAGGGCCTGAGGTCACAAGAAGGGCTCCAACAACATTGTACTAAAGCTGTGCAACACTCCCTCATTACTGCGTAGAACTGTCAAACAGATTGGGTTAGATTTTATGGTTGGCTTTAGAATCCCAACCAAATTGAGGACCTCGAGCCTACACTTGCCGGCAACATATCAGCCATTTTACCAGAGGCAACCTACCAACTGTCTCTCCGTGGCAGGCAGGGATTCAATATAGCTGGTCAAATCAGATACTGCCAGGGAGAGGTAGGCACTGGCCAGGCAGCTTGAGTCTGAGAGTGCAGTTCAGCATTGAGGTATTCATGAAAGTAGGTGGTGATGAGCCTTGATAGTCGTGGTAAAGAAAGGAAAGTAATTCAGCGAAACTGATGAGAGTGTGCAGCCTTTCTGCTCCATTATTCAAACATTAAGAAAGAAACTACTGATGGTCCTATGGTCCACAGAGGGTATCTCCATTGAGCTGGTACAGATATTTTAATCAACCTGCTCAGACATGTCATAACACATCTCTAGTGCATTTGAACCAAAAGAACTGCGGATGCTGTAAATCAGGAACAAAAACAGAAGTTGCTGGAAAATCTCAGCATGTCTGGCAGCATTGGTGAAGAAAAAAAATCAGAGTTAACGTTTCAGGTTTGAGGAAGAACCAAGTAAGGGTCACCGGACTCAAAACATCAACTCTGATTTTTTTTCTTCACAGATGTTGCCAGACCTGCTGAGTTTTTCCAGCAAACTTCTGTTTTTGTTTCTGGTGCATTCAAAGGAGAGTATGAAGGCAGAAGCTGATAATAGTCGGAGTAATGGAAGAGCGGCGTTGCAAATGAACTGAAACTGGAGTAGAGGGGTAGATATATTTGATGTAATGATGGAAGCAGCAGCTCATTTGCCATTAGCTGAAACTTACATTGGGAGACATGAGAAAACAGGGAGTTCTCCACAATACTGTAATAAGATTTGGGAGGAGTGGCTGTGTAGGCGAGGACAGTTGGAGCAAACAGGTTCAAGGGCTTGAATGATCCCAAAGAAATATTAACCTATGTAAACTCTTTCAGATGCTTATCAACTTGCTGTGAATTTCCAGCATTTTGTGTTTTTATCAGAGGTTAATGTAATTGACCTGAGCGTTGAAATACAGTTTGGGTTCTCCATTCATTTTGCTGGACCCAAATGCTGAAATACAATTTACACTATGTGTTAGGTTTTGCTGACACAGATGTTGGAATGCATTCAGTTCTGAGCGTTGGTTTGGCTGAGATCAGCGATGACTTGCAGTCTGCTTTACACGACTGATTAACAAGCATTCAGGTTGACGTGCACTGGTCTTAGCCTGGTGGATGATAAATGCCTGACTACTCTGCATTGATTTGAATCAAGATTGATTTGAAATGGGAGTGGGTGGTGTAATGGGCTGAACAGTCATCTTTGACATCTGGGATTTGGTTGTAAAATCAGTCCAGTCTTCTGTCTGCTATTTATTTACATGCTACTCCTTGCAGTGAGCCGAGGACTTTTCATCACCTTGGTAGAATAGCTGGACAGTTTGCCTTAAAGCCTATTCCCTTAATCTTTGCTCTATCCTTTAAAAGTCCAACCAGAACTCACTTCTTGGATGCTGCCTTTGCTCACTGTCATGTTGATAATTTTTCCTTGTTATGATTTTGGAACAAAGAACAAAGAAAATTACAGCACAGGAACAGGCCCTTCAGCCCTCCAAGCCTGCGCCGATCCAGATCCTCTATCTAAACCTGTCGCCTATTTTCCAAGGATCTGTATCCCTCTGCTCCCTGCCCATTCATGTATCTGTCTAGATACATCTTAAATGACACTATCCTGCCCGCCTCTACCAACTCCGCTGGCTATGTGTTTCAGGCACCCACCAGCCTCTGCATGAAGAACTTTCCACGCATATCTCCCTTAAACTTTTCCCCTCTCACCTTGAAATCGTGACCCCTAGTAATTGAGTCCCCCACGCTGGGAAAAAGCTTTTTGCTACTCACCCTGTCTATACCTCTCATGATTTTGTAGACCCCAATCAGGTCCCCCCTCAACCTCTGTCTTTCTAATGTAAATAATCCTAATCTACTCAACCTCTCTTCATAGCTAGCACCCTCCATAACAGGCAATATCCTGGTGAACCTCCTCTGCACCCTCTCCAAAGCATCCACATCCTTTTGGTAATGTGGCGACCAGAACTGTACGCAGTATTCCAAATGTGGTCAAACCAAAGTCCTATACAACTGTAACATGACCTGCCAACTCTTGTACTCAATACCCCGTCCAATGAATGAAAGCATGCCGTATGCCTTCTTGACCACTCTATCGACCTGCGTTGCCACCTTCAGGGTATAATGGACCTGAACACCCAGATCTCTCTGTGCATCAATTTTCCCCAGGGCTTTTCCATTTACCATATAGTTCGCTCTTGAATTGGATCTTCCAAAATGCATCACCTCGCATTTGCCTGGATTGAACTCCATCTGCCATTTCTCCGCCCAACTCTCCAATCTATCTATATTCTGCTGCATTCTCCGACAGTCCCCTTCACTATCTGCTACTCCACCAATCTTAGTGTCATCTGCAAACTTGCTAATCAGACCATCTATACCTTCCTCCAGATCATTTATGTATATCACAAACAACAGTGGTCCCAACACGGATCCCTGTGGAACACCACTGGTCACAGTTCTCCATATAGGAGAGGACACAAGGGAGTAATCTGGATGTTTCCTTTTCTTTTGGCTGATTCTTTCATTTCTGCTTCTGTTTTTAACACTTTCTTTTCAATGATCTGTTTTAAGTTAATTCTTGTTGCTGCATTTGGTAAAACTCAAGAGACAAAGTAGAGTTTCAAACATTAGTAAGCTGGGCATTCAAGATTTCTTTAACAATGTCTTGAGATATTTAAGCAATATGTTGTCCTGACTCAGTCCTTATATAAA